TTGAGAGATAAGCCACAGTAACTGACCTCTCTGGGTTTAAACTTGCAATAGCTATATTGATTTGATCTTCATGAAGTTGTTGTTGTTTAGTCGTTTAGTCGTGTCCGACTCTTCGTGACCCCATGAACCATATTGCGCCAGGCCTTCCTAGTGATCCCTGACAAATGATCAGTGAGATTTGAAGGTGAACAAGGTATTTCCAGACAAATTGCCTGAAGACCAGTGAATGGTCTTATTTGATTGGAAACTGAGCAAAGGGAGTATTATTGGTCTCTATGGCATCATGTGAACCCATGGTGTTCCGTGGGTATGCAACAGGTATGTGACAGGCAATGTATACCCTTATTCGGTTTGTAGTTGTCTCACCTTCTTTTCAGGATTGGACCATTAGTTGGATTTTGGACCTTGGTGTAAAATTGACCAGAGCAGCAGGATAATCATGAAGTTCTATCTAAAGCCCAACAAGCTAGGTATTTATGAACATAAAATGAGAAATCAGCACCACTTAAATAAACACCTTGCATGGAAGACGTGATTCTTCCTCAGTTCTTAGAAAAAAAATCACTTTGTAAAGCGAAATATTTGGAGAAAATGACCTGCGTGCAGTACACAGCAGACATAAACTCTTGCATCCTTAGAGGAAAAATTCCCTTTACATATCTCATTGTACGCAGAATGTGGAATAAAAAAAAAAAGTCTTTTTGCATTGTATTAATTATGGGACAGGGAAAAAGAAGCTCCTTTAGCCATAGGATGGATGAAAATTTGGGTTGGGTCCTTTCTTTCATAATAGTCTACCAAAATTCATACATTCCTTCATAAAAAGGACAAGCATGAGGTTTTTTTTCTTAACATCTAAATGTGTGACTCAGATTGACAATGAAGATATCAAAATGGTGGATAGCTTCTGCCTTTTAGGATCAACCATCAACAGTAAAGCAACAAGCAGTCAAGAAATACTACACCACAGACTAGCACTTGGGAGAGCAGCCATGAAGGCCTTGGAAAAGATATTCAGATGCCATGATGTGTCTATACCCACAGACATCAGAATAGAATAAGTCATGGTATTCCCTGTGACACTATGGAAGTGAATGTTGGTCTTTGAAGAAGTAAGGTAGGAAGACTATAGATGCTTTTGAACTTTGGTATTGGTAAATACTTCTGAGAATACCATGGACAGTCAAGAAAACAAACCAATGGATCATCAAACAAATCAACCCAGATTTCTGACTCGCACAAATGATCAGGCTCAAATTATCCTACTTTGGACACAGTATTAAAAGACTTAGCTCTCTGGGGAAAGATCTAAAGCTGGGAAAGGCAGAAGGAAAGAGAAGAAGAGGATGATCAGCAGGAAGGTGGATGGACTCAGTTAAAGGGGCGATTGGTACACCAAAAGAAAACCAGGTTAAGAACAGATCATCATGGAGAAAATCAATCTAGGTGGTCACTAAGAAATGATACCAACTTGATGGCACATAATAATTTTAAAAAATTACTAGAGCTAGATAGCTGTCTCCATCCATGCAGAGACCCAGCCCTGTTTGAATCTGTATGTATTCAACCATATTTATTTATTTGTGGCGATGAACTTGCAATGCCAATTTTTTTTTTCATGACAATCTCTTTTCATAATAGGAGTAGCCCCATGATCCAAAATCTGGTAGTACTTAAGTCACAAACCCTTGTGCAAAATTTTTCTTGTCATTCTTTGGGAAGAGGTGTGTCTTGTTTTGGTGATTTTCCATGATGGGCATGTTCTTGCTTCCCTGGCCATTGTTTTTCCAAGGCTCATATCCTGAATCGGAGCCACCAAGTCCAGCATCTGTGGGGCAACAGGAGGAAGCTCTTCTGTGATTCTGTTCCGCCTTATTTCAGCCAACTCCCTTCTATTAAAGGGATGTTTCCCTTCCAGACTGCCCCAGGCAGCATTCATTTAGCCCTGTGTCTGCAGCAGAACTAGACCAGGGCTGATTTGCCTTGTTAATCCCTCATGCCTGCGTGGGTTAATTTGCTTGAGTTGGAGATGAGTTGCCAGGCTCACCATCTTCTTGGAGGAGGAACCAACATTTCCTGTGATATTATGATTGCTTATGGCTAGTAAAGTTTCCAGGCTCTTGTTTCAATAGGGAGAAACCACCTTGTAGAAGAATGACTTTGCTGAGTAAAGGGTAGTCTCATGGTTCTGCATAAAAGCATAGTTAGCCTTGGACTTCTTTTAGCAAACAGATGCTGCCATCCAACAATTAATAAAATTTAAAGCTCTCCTTCCGTCACAACAACAACAGCAACAACAAAAGTCCTGTCAACAACAAAATTCCCATGCTTGCTTATAGAGGAAGACTAATAGAATGAAGTAGTCTTGAGTTAAAAGTGGACTGAAATATCACCATCATCTGTAGGGGAAACATGGATTTATTGCAAGGGGAGCGTTTAAAATTCCATGACAGCAGATGAATTTCACTTGCAGTTTATTGGAGAGAGAGAAATTTGACAATCCATGACCATTTATTTCTAGAGCAATGTCAAAACATATAGAAGGCTCTTTTAAAAATTAAATTGTCAATGACTCCAAACATATTTTCCATTATTCTCTGTTTTCAGAATAACTTTCAATATTGTTTATATAAATGTAATTATGCTTGCATCATTACAGACTGATCTACTGATTGCCCATGTTTGAATGACTATCTTTTTGCTAGTGGAAAGGTCCAGATTCTACCTTCATTGCATACTGAGGATGTAACTGAATTTCATATGTGGACATCCTGCTCATTGGACTTCTCATTTCTGGATCACCTCACCACAAAAACTAGATCTATTACTAAATTCACATTTTTCATCTTCAGAGTTGCTCTCCTTCCTCTAGCACCATATCCACCATTTTTCTCCCTAGTTATTCCATGCTCCAGACTTCGTTACCTTTGAGAAACATTTTTTTTAAAATTATCAAAGTTGTAACTACTTTTCTCACCTTCACAACTATAAACAACACCATAATCAGGAGGAGGAATTGGTCTAGTCCCACCACCTTCATATGTGGCTTGAACATAATATTAATCAGATTCACCTGCTTCTCTTGAATACCCATACCCATCAATTCTACCAAATCCTATATTTCTACTAGGATTATCTGAATATTCTAGGATTCATCCCATTTCCAGAAACATATTTTCTTGTTTCACTCTCACTTAGGCAGCTTGTTCCACTTCCAACATTAATAATAGTTTTGGAGCCATGTTGCCTGCTTCCAGAACTTCCTACAGCTCTTGCTGTGATCATAATTCTAGAACCATCAGAGATACAGTATGTTCATCATTTCCAGTACCCTCTGGAACTCATGCATTACAAACACCATTTTTAGAATTGCTACTGCCTCTAAAGTCATATTCTCCATTTGGTCCATATTCAGAGACTGAATGATGCCTATCACCTTCAGGTTCACACTCAACTGTTGCAATATCATCACATTCGCGTCTGCAAAAGGGAGCTATGTAAAGAGTTGAGTCTGATATAGCCTGTGGTTATAGAGCTCCATGTAACCAAAGAGTTGAGTGCAGCCCTCAGCCCCCATCCCAAAGTTGTCAACCTTATTCTTAGTATGACAGAAGGAGCTCATGCAATAGGTGATCAGAGAGTAAACAAAGATGCTCTTAAGAATAATCTGTATTAATGATTCTTTACTGGATTTTCCAACGTAACTCAGATATGTGTGGAAGCAGTCTTGCTAACAAGCCAACACTTATCAAATAATAAGAAGCCACTGCTCAAATGCAGTTTTGAAGAGTTGAAGATCTTAAGGTTGATGGAGCCTTCTCTCTTCCACTGGCTGAGAATGGGGCTGGAAGGAGTGGGGGAATGTTGAATGCTGCTTAAAAG